TTTCTGGCCCCGAGAGTCAGAGAAGCCTCCCGAGCTGGACCCGCATGTTTCTGGGCGCCCCCCCACCCCGCCACGACACCCGCCCGGCGTCCCGAGCCCAGGCGCGGCTCCACCTTGTCCCCTACCCGTCCCGCAAGGTTCCACGCCCCTGCTCACCGTAGACGTGGAAGCCCAGTACGCAGGTGTAGGTAGCCCATTCGCGGTCTCTACTCTCATAGCGATTCCTCAGCAGCTTGCAGCCTCCAGCAACATCCCCTGGGGAGAGGGAGCCCACCCAGCTCAGTTCTCTCTCTGCCCTCAGCGGGAAGATGCCCAGGAAGGCCAGGTTGGAAAGACTGACTTAGGCGAGGCAGTATTGTGACATCTGGTCCCTGTGGTAGCCCCTCCACTCCCCAGTCTCGTGAAAGCCACCCCAGTGCTTTCTGAGTTCTCGCAGAAATTCTAACAGCTTCTCATCAGTTCCTCCTCCCTAGATAAGTCAAGCCCTCCACACTTGCCCTGAGAGACTTTTACAAAATAATCACAGCGCATTTTTCAACTCCCTCAAGTCCACAAGACATAGTGTGAAACTATGGGGATTTTTCCAAGTCACAAAATCTCTATGTATAATTCCGACTCCACGTTAACTCTTCTTCACCTCCTTATCTGACAGCCCCTCTGACTGTAGCTTCCCAAGTATTCTTCATCCCCTTCCAACCAGGAGCCCCTCCCCCAAATAAAACTCCAATTACCCTCTCCCCCATGCCACTCACAATAAAGAATCTCATAATCCCCAGAATTGGACATAATGAAGTTCCCATCCTTGGACCAGTCAAGATGAGTGATGAAGCTGGAGTGACCCTGGAGGCAAAGGTCAAGAGTTTAAAAATATACAGCCACCATTTCCCATCCCCAGAGCCCCCTTAATTTCCTTGCTGTTACCATGCCCCACCCTGCACCTCAGCTTCCTCACCACACAGCGGCCAAAGCGGCTAGACTTGGCACCGTCACTGGAGACACTGTAGATGTAGATCATGTTGTCATGGGAACCGATGGCCAGGTACAACCCATCTGCAAATACAGTCACTCAGAGAGGGAAGGGCTGAGGACGGATCAGAGGCAAGGGAGGGGGTGGCTCCCACCTGGGCTGTACCGGACCACTGAGAGCTGCTCGTTGCCATCAGTTACATCAGACACGATCTCTCTGGTTTCTGTGTCCAAAACCAACCACCTGGAAGGGAGAGAGGCAGAGGCAACAGGAAGGCAAAAAAGCAGGATGTGAGGAGACACCCCCCCAGGGAGGCCGCCTTGGGCAGGGTGAGGGATGGCAACTCAGTTAACATCAGAGAGGCCCACAGAAAGGCTATGATGTAGAAGAGAGGTCACCACTGCATTCTTATGCTAGAGATGGAAAGGGGCTAAGTGCAGATAAAAGCTGAGAAGCTTCTGAAAAAAGAGTCAGAAACTACAAACCAGGAGCCACTACAAAGCCTTGTGGAGTCCGTGAGCCTGTCACTTTCCTGTGTTGGTCTCTCCGTGCCCCTCCCATTCCCGCTGCTTCTCTAGCGTGGGCTGCCACCTCCTCTACTCCCAGGCTTGGAGGAGAGAGAGGCTGGGAGGGGGTGAGGGAGGATGGTCACCACAGGAGAGCAAAGGAGCCCAGGCTGCAGGGAAAAGTATTCAGGAGTGGAAGGTGCAGCTGGCTCTGCCCACACCTCTATTCCCAGGAACCCTTCCCAGACCTCCCTGTCTTCCCTCCCAGGAGTACTGGCTCCCTCTCACCTCCCTGTGTTCAGTCCCACGGCCACAACTGCCCCACTCGGATGGAAGTCAGCACAAACACCAGTCTCCTGAGAGGGAGGAGAAGGTGAATTCAGACTATGCCTTTCTAGTGAGGGAACCAGGACAGACACCTTGTCATCTTGATAACAACTCCTCCTCCCATGGAGACAGGGCAAGAGAGGGAAGGAAGACCTGGAATGGAGGTAGTGTGTCACTAGAGCCTAAACCAGGGGTAATATGCAGAATCTTTAACCACTAGAACTGAGGCCCCCAGCTGTGCTGGAGATTAACCATTTAGTTGCTGGACTAAGAAGCCTGAGGTCCTAGGTCCTAGTGCCTAGGTAGCACTAGAGGCAATTGCTTTTATATTATTTTTATTTCTTTATTTACTTTGAGACAGGGTCTCACTCTGTCACCAGGCTGGAATGCAGTGGCACAATCACAGCTCATGACAGCCTGAAACTTCTGGGCTCAAGAGGTCCTCCTGCCTCAGTCTCCTGAGTAGCTGGGACTACAGGCATGTACCACCACACCTGGCTAATTTTTCTAGTTTTTGTAGAGACGAGGTCTCACTTTGTTGCCCAGGCTGGTCTCTAACTTCTGACCTCAAGTGATCCTGCTGACACCCTCCTCCCCACCAAGGTGCTGGGATTACAAGTGTGAGCTACCATACCTGGCTTGCTTTTTTATCCTTTTTTTTTTTTTTGAGTTGGAGTCTCACTCTGTCACCCAGACTGGAGTGCAG